TATATATATATATATATATATATATATATATATATATATATATATATATATATATATATATAATTTATACTTTATTTTAATACGTAAATATGCTATTAAAAATTATAACTCATTCATATGAACTCTGTTTTTGACGTTATTTATATCCACGCGTAGCTATCGACGAGATCTGCAACTTTCGTTTAGACTCCGTCGGCTAATTTTGACTTTATTTTTCATCCATATTTTTATAAAATTAAATGATTTTGTTAAAATCATAAATCTCTTGTACCGACTCCGTTTTAGCATTCATTTTCTCAAAATTCTTATTTTAAAAAGTACTACGATTTTCTTTTGGTGACTTTAGCTAAAAATCAACCATTTTTTTCGTAGCTTTTTACATCACACATTCCTTGTGCGCGACTGTCTTTTATATCTTATAGAAATCATATATAATTCATACGAAGTCGAATTTCTACGAAATTTATATTTTCGGGATCGGGAAGACGTGTACTTTCTATATATATATATATATATATATATATATATATATATATGTCTGTATGTTTTGGCGTACTTATTTTTACTATTTACGGGCGATTCAGCTGATTTTTCCTATTTTATTATATTATAATAATCATGAAACACATAAATATTCATTTAATTCTTCTTTATTATGTCAAATATGTTACAGTTGTTGACCGTAACTATTACTTTGGTTAATATTATTTATCCTAAATAATCTTCTATAAAAAATATCATTTTTAACGTTTATTATATCTTAATTGAGTAGCACAAATTTGCGGGTGTTACATTGAATACAGTAAATAGCTGTTTGTATAATTGATCTCAAATTATCCTCCCCCATGGATATCTGCCACATAAAAAACTAGTTAACAATTAAATTTCTAAAAAATATTAGTAACGATAAGTAATTATAAAATAGACGACATTATACCTGTTGAATTCATCAAGGTTTGATAGCAAAGCGAAATACTTCTGTAACATGCTGTTTAGTCAACCGCCCATTGAAACTCTTCCTAACAGGTATAGAAGACATACACGGACTGCATCCTCTTCTGATAGCTCATTAAGTGAATGTTTAAACACCTTCATAACATCGTCTAATTTGATCGAGACATTCGTCGGGACCATAGGAAAGGCACGGAAACGGAAGGCGGCGCCACCAAACCGGAAGCCGGTGATGAGACAAAATTCTTTCTTCCCGAAAGACAGCTTGTAACCCTAATCTCAAAAACCATTTCATGTACTTGGATTTGGGGGTCGGTGACAACTTCGTGGAAAAAGACGTAATGTAGAAGCAAAGGATCCCCATCTACATTAGGAATGTCTAACCACCTCCCAAAACATGTATTCCGGAACATAGTCTCGCATTCGGGTCTGTCTCTGAATGCCACAAGAATTTGCCCGTCGATTTTGGGTTTACACGAGAGTGTGATTGATGCAACAAAAACCATGTCGTGGTGCACAAATAAAAAAAGGTGTTATCACTTCATTCTGAAACGAAAATGACCAATATTCCAGACAAGTTCCAGACCTGTTCCTCATGTTCCGGACGAGTTCATCGTGTTCCAGGACAGTTCCTCACGTTCCGGAGGCTTCCAGAATGAACTTTTAAGATCTGGAACACGACATTTCGATGTAAATCAACAATACCTAAACATCTACTACTTTTCAGTTGGTCGTACAACAATGACATCTTTAATTTAAACTCCGGAACGT